CCCCAAAGTGAAGAGGCAACAATGGTCTCATTATGACTTCTTGTATGGATTTAAACAGGCTCGGGCCCCCCACGGTGGAGTTTCATAAAAATGCTCAAACAGCGTGAATTATTAATCGTCACCGAGAGAAATAGAAGCTGCAGCGGACGGAGAGGGAAAACTCAGTTATTGTATTACCATGTGGTAGTGTGCATGAAACGGGGCATTCAGATTCACGAAACATTTGTTAAACACACTTCTCGATCCCTGCTAACAGAAATAAATCTGACATGACTGACATCCGATTCGACTCCGAGACCGACAACAGAAGCTCTCCTCGACCCAAATCGATCCCCTCGCCTACATTTCAATAACTCACATTCAAAATCCCGCAAGCAATGTTTACCATTGACAATATTCCAAGTTGAAGCCATCAATATAACACAAACTATGATCTCTAAACAGTTTAACATAATTTCCAATGACGTTACACATCAAATAAAAAGTCTAGAGACTCTTAAAAAAAAATGACTCACTTGTAACTTCCACTAACAACCCAGGCTAAACTCCCTGGCAAACAAAGATCTTAGACCAGTTGAGATGCATCACTTGAACCACACTTCCTTAATGCGAATTACTACATTCCGATTAGCCACAGGGCTTTGGCGGCATGTTGTGGTATCTTAGCATTACAGGAGGAAATCAAAAATACGCAGCTACTCAAATCATTGCTTTGACGCCATTTGTGGCATCCTGGTGCCAAGCAACTATGTTGAAGTGAAAGAAGAACTTCATTAAGTCAGGCCATAGCCCTATCTAATCGACAAAAGTGCCATTTTGAGGCATCTATAAATCATTTTAAACCTTTTTGGGTGGCTGATTTTTGCCAAAACATGACACACACGCACACACACACACGTGGGCCAATAAAAGGCTAATAGGAAAGTAGTAATTGTATAATAATTAACACCAATAATTAAATAATTAACACCAAATCATCTGTAAGCCATTTTTTAAAGTGTAATGTTTAATTTCTACTGAAGCGTTTAGGGAACATACGGTATATTTTTCTTTTAAACTATTATTACAGGAAATTATAACCACTGTTACTCGCAAATATGTTTTGATTGACTTTAGTTTCATGTTCGGTCTTGTTTTCCTGTGTCCCATCTTGTCTTTCGGTTTTCATTTCCTGGTCTCATCAGCCCCGTTTCTTGTGTCAGCCAATCAGCTTCAACTTCAAGCTAGTTTTTGTAATTTATTTTTTTTTTTTTTGATTACGCCTGCTGTCCTGCATTTGGTTCCACTTTTGCCTCTCCATCCACCACGAAAACCCACGTTTCTCTGTCAAAGGCTTTCCTGACGCAATCATGTAACCTTTATCGCCGAACTACACAACAAATAAAAGGACACAGTGTTCCCATCGGTCAATGTCTAGACATGCCCTTTTTTTTTTGACATACAGTCTATTTTCTTGGGAGTTCACGTGAGTCAGCGCGGTGTTCCGATTGCAACAAACAGGCCCTGCCTCAGAAATCAATGAGTTCAATACAGTGAACGATCAAGTTTCACACGAAGAATGACAACATAATGACTACTGAGAAGGCTCCCCCAGCCTCCTCCACAAACCTTTCAGTCATTCTCAATGACAATCCACCCACTTTGTTAAAGAAAATCAAGTGGCCACTCCGACCTTTTTTTTTTCTTCCCTCATTGCATCCTTCGGACAGCAAAACGCTGAGAAAAATCCTAAATGTCACCTAAATACACATCACATCCGCTTTCGATTCAAGATTCACGTCCTGTCTGAATAACTATTGGCAGGTCTGCCATTCCTGTGATGATAATTCTATCATTATCAGATTGTTGACCCGAGTGGATTTTGCACCTCCATCAAAATCTTTAAGTGCGTGTGCATGTGCGTGTTGGAGGGAGTGGATCAAAAGGTGATATGCACTTTAATCGTTTGAGGTGAGAGGGAGAGAAAAGGGATGGAGGGGAAAGTGCTGTTGCCATGGTAACGGGCATGTCATCGGTGGGGCATGGTGAAAACATGCCCGCACGCACTTTACTTTTAGTAGGTGGCCAATCACATTGGAGGATTTTAGGCTGAGTGTCTCAGGGTCAAACGTTAATTGCCGGCTTTTGTGATGTGAAATGTTCTCTTCCTAGTCAAGATATTTTAAACAACGGTGCGGCGCAAGCAGCGTTCGTGTTTCAATACGCTAAGAGCTAGTACGCAAGTGTTAAGATCGCACAATATTTTACTTGAATGTCAAATTAGTTTCGAGGTTAGATTTAGTGCATTGTAGACTTCAGTAATGTCAAGAAGTATTTTAAAGGGCCCTAAAGCACATTGAGGGAAGTATTAAAAAAAAAAAAAAAGAAGAAGCAGGAAATTAAAGCAGCAAATTAGAGTCCCAAAATAGTTCGACGCTGGAATCAATGTACTTTGCAGTGTAATTGCTTTGCTTTAATGATGCCAAGGTATTTGGCGGACAGCCGCAAGCACACACTAAACAAAAACAATACAAAGGGACGCTAAGTCCTTCCCAGTCTTTTTTTTTTTTTTCATTATAATAATGCAAATCACAGGCAGGGCTAAATGTATCACAAACAAACAACTCGCCAACCGTCAATATGCTATTTAAACAGGAATCGTTCCAACACAGTTAACCGGTAGGACTCCACTTGATAATACTGATGGAAACTGCAGGAGATGCCGAAATGGAAAAAAAAAAAAGAACCAGCTGAGTACACAATGAGCCTGCCACTGTGTGTGTGTTTTCACACGAGCATGCGCGTGTGTGTGTGTGTGTGTGTGTGTGTGTGTGTGTGTGTGTGTGTGTGTGTGTGTGTGTGTGTGTGTGTGTGTGTGCGTGTGTGTGTGTAAAATGAAGGTTCCTCTTCACTGCAGGCCACACGGCCCCAAGAGGATGTTTGGATGGCACTCCTGGCAGACACATGGTGTTCTCAGTTGTCAAGGTTGATAAGATATGGGATGAAAGTGATTCCCTCGCCTCTCTTCGGTGACTGGTCACAGCACCGGGGGCGATATATGTGTGTGTGTATATGTATGTGTGTCTGTGTATGCCAAGAAAAAAAATACTGCCGGATTACTGATCACTCTTCATTATTGTCAAGGCAGTCGGCCCACAGTCGTATGAGATATTGTTGAATGAATGCAAGATGCAAAAACACTCAATGACTTAGATTCCACTGTCGTAACCTCACTGTGGGACTCGTCAGACCCACATTTCGGGGAGGTTAGCTGGCGCGTAAATAAGCTGAAAAATCAGATGCCTACAACCTCCCACTCGCACTGATAATCACAAGAGCCAAGTAGCTAGCAACAACCACAAAAGGGTGTGAAGTGTGGTACCTTTTATGTTATTTATTTTCTATGGAAGTGTCTCACAACCCCCTTCATACAGAAACTAAAATATTGTACACGTTTAGTGTTTGTAAGCCGGCTTTATTGCCTTTCCTGAGACATGTGAATAATGTTCCTTGGCAGAGTCGGCTGTCAGTGAGAGGGAACAGAAGGAAACGCTTGGCAGGAACATGTGTTGTATGCATACGTACCGTAGAACATTTTCACTTTGGAGGCACACAGACCTCAAGTGGAACTGTTTTATCATGAACATGTCACAATCTTGTACACAAAGTACTACCAAAAAAATACTTAGCTCTATAAGTACCACAATCATGACCAAAATTAGCCCTTTCATTCACCCTGTAACCCGGTAACATGATAAGCCGTCCACTGTATTAACCACTGTCCGTGAAAGGGTTAAAACTTAACTCAACTGTATTTATAGAGCACTTTAAAACAACCACCACTGTATACAAAGTGTTGTACATGGAGCTAATATCATTTATACAACAATAAACAATAAATTAATCACAAAAACAGTAGAAAGCACAAAAACAGTAAAACTAAGTCATGCTGGGTCAAAAGCCAAATAATACAAATGAGTTTTGAGACGAGTTTTAAAGATGGGCAGTGAGGGGGCTTCCCGAATGTTCAGTGGGAGGTCATCAATGGAAAAGGCTCGAGCCCCTCTTAACCTCCACTTAGTTCTTGGTAGCTCTAATATTGTCTGGTCCGTAGACCTGAGGCAGCTGTGGAGGGGTGGAGGAGCTCAGAGAGGTAATGTGGAGCGAGGCCATTTAAAGATTTGAAAACAAATAATAGGATCTTAAAAAGAACTCTAAAATGTACAGGGAGCCAGTGAAAGGATGCCAGAGTAAGAGTTATGTGCTCCCTCTTACGAGTACCAGTCAAGAGGTGAGCAGCAGCATTCTGAACCCACTGGAGACGCTTCATGGAGGATTGGGTGACTCCGAAGCAAAGTGCATTTCAGTAATCCAGCTGGGATGTGATGAAAGCATGAATTACTTTTTCAAAGTGCTCATAAGCAAGGAGAGGTTTTACTTTAGCCAGCTGGCTAAGATGAAAGAAGCTGGATTTAACAAAGGCACCAATTTGCCAGCCCAATTTAAAATCACTGTCCAGTTTAAGACCCAAGTATGAGACTGTTGACTTAAGATAAAGAGCCACGGGGCCCAAGTCTATAGGATGGGATGTACAAGGGCCACTGGGACCAAACACTATCACTTCTGTCTTATTTTTCTTATTGAAATTCAAGACATTATGTGCCATCCAGGTCTTGGTTTCCTCCAGGCAGGATAAAAGTGGCGTTCATGAGAAGGCATCTTTTTTGCTCAGTGGGACATAGATCTGACAGTCATCTGCATAGCAGCGGAAGGAAAAACCATGTTTCCTTAAGATGAAACCCAATGGGAGCAGACGCAGTGAAAACAGCAGAGGCCCCAGAATTGCGCCCTGTGGAACACCACTTGACAGTGAGGCAGTACAAGAAAGTTAAATACAACTAAATTGTACTCGGGTAGTGATTCTCACGTGGCACTAAAGGAAGCCCGTGTGTACCACACTTCCACTATATTCGAAAAAACAAAACACAATTGTACTTGCTACCCCCCACTCTCATGCTCACCTCCTCCGCCGTCCTTCTCCTCCTCCTCGATGCTGTTCTTGATGCTGTCATACTCCTCGTCGATGTTCTGATTTCCTCGTATCTGGCTGAGAACGCGTCGGGCCTTCTGGGTTTGTCCGCGCTGGATCAGCCAGCGAGGGCTCTCGGGCAGGAAGAGGAAGCCCACAAACTGGAGAACGGCGGGTAGCACTGAAAGGCCCAGCATGTACCTGGCAGGCGGAAACAAGACTTTCATAACCATTCTCCTGTAATTCCATGGTTTTGACAGGAAGCTTTTTAACTGAGGTCCGGCTATTTCCTTGCAAGCAACGGGTGGCTCATTAAAATTTAACCCTGGGGGAGAAATGTCAAGCCTTAATTTAGAGCCCTCTGCTGGAAATTGCCTTCACATTTACTGCGATTTAATGCACATCACATACAGAATAATGTAAACTATTCCTAAAACGCGAATAGTAACACGTGATTAGAACTTGCACCAGTAAAAATCGTAGGTATCAATAGGTGGCTACAGCATGCTACTTTTTGAGTTGCGTGACTTAGACAATGCTAAGCTAATGTTCAGTCTTTATTACCTTGAATAGGACAGTTGCCCTCCGCCACGTAGGCATGTGAGCCTGCTCTAGTCGACCATATAATCCTCGTGGCCCATTCTGGAACTAACAGACTTTGACAACTTTGAGTGGACCTGACACTATTTTCTGTCTCTTAACCCTTTCAGGGACAACGGTTACTACAGTGGACAGCTTAAAATGTTATCAGATTACAGGGTGCATGAAGGGGTTAAATACAACATCGGTTGGGTTTTGATCTGATGGATGTCAACACATTGGATGTCAAATCCAAACTACAGAACAGAACAGGCTTACCTACCCCCTAGCACGCACGCAAAGCAAATTCATTGAATGATCATCGTGAGAGGAAATTGCCGTTGAAATCTCTGCGTCCACTTGAATGCACAATCAGCGTTCAACATGTTCTGACAAAAAGACTGCTTGGAAATCCCGTAATTACTGGAGAGTAAAGTATAGTAGGGGAAATGAGGAGAGCAAAGACTAATTGAAAGGGGCCAGCGGCCGTGAAAATGAAAGTAGCAGACACGGCGCGCTGACAGGCGTGCCTAAATTTCAACACAAAAAGGCTTTTCTTCTGCTGCTCAGGCAAAGGCATCAAGGAGAGCTGCACCTTTCATGCACCTGCAGGAATCACGGCAACTGATTATTCATGGGTGACTCTAATCGGCAAACATCAGGGCTGATGTGGCAAGTCACTGCAAATGTTCAAGGTTGGCTCGTAGATATGTTGACATTTAGATTTGAGCCCGAGTGAGATCCTCCGACATTTGATATAATGAAGGAATCATATCATCTATCATATGTGAAAGGCATTGAGGGACCCCAGTTTGAGACGAGATGTTCTGCGCTGTTCTGACCTCCATCCGTCGCGCCGCACGTAGCTGAAGGCGCCGTCCACCAAGCTGGCGGTGAACTGCCCGCCGGTGATGAAAAGGGTGTTCACCGTCACCAGCTGACCGCGGAGGTGCGGCGGCGACGCCTCTGCGATGTAGACGGGCACCGTCATCGAGGCGATGCCTGCCGAAGGGAGAAATAGTTCGCGAGGGTTAACAAGCACACATCTGAACGTGTGGAGACTTTGTTTACAGCCGAGCAAAAAGAAATGCACGCATTCTTTTTGAACTTTTCGTGACAGAGAAACCTTCCAACATAATAGCGCACGGAAGGCCATGCTGCTCTGTAAAGGTTAAAGCGGGAGTCTGCAAGGCAGAGTAAGATGAGCTCAGACTAAACACTACTCTGTTTGTCCATCCTAAGGCCACGACTCAAACAAGAGTGTGGACACAAGACCACCATGTTCTCTAGCTTGCTCTTGATCATTTCTATTAATAGCCTGCTTGCTATGCACCACCCCACCACCCTCTCCGCCATCAAATTCATCACAATCACCATCCCCATCATCATCATCCCCATCCCTTTCCCCTTCTTCCTCCCAACAACACTGTGCCCCGATGGCCTACGTGGCTACCTGTTGCCATGGCAACCCCATCTCAGGAAATGAGGCAGGTCACCTCCAGTCGGGCACCGCATGGCGGCAGCTTTTTGGGACGACAAATCCAATAACAGAGGGAGAGGGAGTGAGAGAGAGAGAGAGAGAGAGAGCAGGAGGAGGATTTAACTTGTTTCCCTCCACAGGGGCCCACCAGAAGAGTTGTAATCTTTGCATCGTCAAAAAAAAACAAAAAACATGAAGATTCTAAGACGGCTGTGAGGTTAGATAGCCGATAACCCTGATTGAAACAAGAAGTCTGAGTCAGACGTAACAGTCCAAGTCGCCAGTGTCCAATCGAACAATTGGCTGAGCTGTTTTATCTGATAACACTCCCTGTGTGAAGACTGAAAAACGATTCAAGAACAGGCAGGAACCGATGACGGTCCAGGCCTGCAGGAGCAAATCAATTGTGGTGTGTTTAGAGGCAAAAAGATTCGGATTGTGTCAGGAGGAGGATTTAACTGCTTGTTGTGTTTTATTTCCCTCCATGGGGACCCGCCAGAAGAGTTGTAATCCTCGCATCGTTAAAAACAAACAAACAAACAAACATGTAGATTGCAAGGTAGATGGGAGGTTGACTGGCCGATAAACCCTTTTCAAATAAGTGGTCTGAGTCCGACTTAACAGTCCAAGTCGCCAGTTTCCAATCGAACAATTGGCTGAGCTGCTTTATCTGAAAATCATTGTGTAAAGACTGAAAAATGATTCAAGACCAAGCAGGAACTGATTATAGTCAAGGCCTGGAGGAGCAAAGCAATTATGGTGTATTTAGAGGCACAAAAATTTGTATTGTGTCATTATCCAAATATTTATGGTCGGTGTAAAATTTAGTCCAGGTGCACCTCATGTACTGGCTGGTGGTTTTGCACATCAAAAACTGACCCAAATGTGTTTATGGTGCAATGTTTGCATGCACAAGCAACAATGCCTCCATCTGTATTCTCCTCATTAAACCAATTTCCTGTCTTCTCTGCCGCTTTCGCCTCCCCTGTCGCCCTTGTTTCTTCCGAACCGAGCCGTTTGGATTTCACTCGGGCGACGGCCAGCCGATACGAGCGAGGCGCTCGGGCGAGACGGTGACTAATGATTGTGTCCGTTTCACTTCTTTTCAGAGTTGAAAACACGGAATCAGCCAATACCGCTGCCGCCGGCAGAAAGGTCAAAAGTCACTTGACATTTTCAGCTGTGGTAAACAAGAGAGAGTGAGGCTGTCTCTTGATGGAACAACACTACTCAAAGCATTTTCAGCTTTGGTTCGTATCAAATGTTCAGTGGAGAAATGTTCTACAGTGAAACTCCTCTACAACGAAATCGTGTTTGCGGCAAGAAATTTTTCACAACAGGGGGTTTTTCACTGTAGCAAATTTGGTCTCAGATGTAAGCACACACACACCCACCCACACAAACATATGTGTACACGCACACAAACGTATGTGTACTCTATTTTTATTCCAATAGTGCATAAGTATGAGCATACACTTATTTGACACTTCATATTGTCAGTGTAGAAAGAAAAAAAGGTAAAGAAATTGCGAAATTTACAATCAGCATTCACTTTCACTTACATCAATTTCTTGGATCATGTCATTTATTTTGCTTGCTCCGTCTTTCATTTTGATCACTTTTAACCTCTCTTCCAGCATCAGAGCTCTTCTTGTCTTAGCTGCTTGACATCCAAAGGTCCTTTTGTAGCCATTTTAGCATTATAACGTCCACGCTCGTCTGAATCTAACAATAACAAATATTTCTGGACCCGGTGGCTTTTCTTTCCACCATCTCACTGTCTCTACCTAACCCTAACCCAAGACAGCGTTGCTCAGCTGATGTTCATGCAATGAACTTTTAAACCAGCCACACCTCGTAGTTCTGGCCACAGTTAGCTTTCGAAGGCTAAAAACGTTACGCTAACTGGAGCGCTAATGAGAGAGAAGCGCTCCAGTTAGGTCCCTCTTGGCAATGGCAGAGCAGCTATGAGTTTGTTGAGTCCAGGAAACTCGCAGCTGTGACCGAAATAAACATCGTTCACTATGTAAACCAGTGTGGTGGTTGCTGTTTCCTTTTTTTGAACGAAGCAGTAGAGGTCGCTGTTGGATAAGACTTCGTTGTAGTGAATGTCTTCGCGAGGCTGGAGCAGACAAAATGATTTCGTATAACGCAACAGGGGGTTTTTCGTCGTATGGGGGGCAGGAGAATGGGAATTGTGTTAATGCATGAAGATTTTTTCACATAAGGGGGTATTTTCGCCCATGTAGGTTTCGTTCTAGAGGAGTTTCACTGTACTCATCTTCCTCTAGAAAAACACCACCACAAGCGTGCACCGCTGGTGTTCACATTGTTGTTAACGCGCACAAAAGTCATTGTCGTCTCAAAGTGGCCTGCCAAGGCTCCAGGCGCACACACTTGATCAGAGGCAAATACTTCACTCAGCCCTCCATCAGTGACAGCGAGGATGAAGCAAGCTAATTAGGATTCCAAGACAAGGCAGGGGAAAAAGCAGAGTGAAAACTCTCCCGGAGAAGGAAGTTGTCAAATGGAGGGATAAAAAAAAAAACATCCCGAGTAGTGATTTAATCTGGCGGAGAGAAATAGAATCGTATGTCCAGTCATAATCATATCTGTTTTGTCTCAAATTGAGTTGCAATGAAAGTCGGGGATGAAACCGTGTGGAGCAGAGCCTGGACATCGATAATCACTACAAAAAGAAGCCTGACACAATGTTCAATTTCTGCATGAAATGAAACAAAGTCACACTATATCAAAAACTCCATAAAGCTCATCAGTACAGCACTCATATTAGTCATCCTGAGGAGAAAGAATATATGCCTGTTAGTACTTTGGTGTTGTCTGTCTACATGCTACACCTTTGCTTAAAGGGTTAAAGCTCTGCAACATCCATGGTATTAGCGTTAGCGTTCAGCTAACAAACAGAAAGGCAAAGCTATGTGGTTGTTTTCAATGCACATTGTTTTAAGTTTAGTTTGACAGTCAACTTCAACTGGGAGTGGCATTAAAATACGTGAAGGCCCTTTTTTGATGACTTGGTCACTATTTGCCAAATTTGAAGCGCATTCCGTTGAGTTCACCTACCTTCATCTTACGTCCCCGTGGCAACAGGTTTTGTCACTTTCCGCTATCTTATTAAGCCACAATCTCACTTTTTGTGCTCCTTTTAATTGAAATATAGGAATCGATTCTTACAAAGTATCATTATTGGTGCTTGAAAGGGATAACTGGCCAGGAGATGACTAAACAGAGGCCTTAGACTGGATGAGGAGAAGCAAAACAGACAACCGCGAACGTGACATTTCCTGGTTGGATAAACAGTTTCCCTGACCTTTTCGGGGCTGGTTCGTTTCAAAAAAATGCAAAGTGTCTCCGTTTTGGAATGTAAATGTGAGAATGCAATTGACAGTTCTGGGCCCGCAATAATAGCACGCGATGAAAAAAACAAGTTTCCTTAATAGCATCTTTGGCGGCTAATTGCCGTTTCCGGAATGTGTTTCCTGTTCCATCAAAGTCTGGTTCATGCACGCTTGTGTAATGAACACATTTGCATGGGGGAAGAGCTCGACAGCAAGGGGCGGAGGATGTGAAATTAACAAGCAAAATGACCTAATGAAGGACTTGGTGATTAGGTCTCCTTTTGCCCCCCCTGCCACCTGCAAACAAACAGCTTGATTGTGTTGTATTCATCCTCATTTCGGAACTGCTCATTTGCAAAAGGCAAGTTGATTTATTAGAAATTGTAGCTCTTTTTTTTTCCCCTGTAAAAATAAAAGCGAGCAATCTGCTCATCATTTCCTACTTCGGGGAAATGTGTCGAATTGTGATCAAAAAGCAAACGGCGCCGAAGAAATTTGGCAGAGGAGAAAGTGGAAGGAGAGGTCAGCTGCAATATCTGACATCAAATGGAGGCAATCAACACTAAAAGCGTTCAGCGAGTTGTCTAACAGCCAGAAGTGTGCGGCTCGGTGGGCACAAGGCCCAAGCTGTGTAATTAGCAAGTACGCTAATTGCAAATACCAGGGCTGGGGGAGGAGGAGTTGCAAAACGCTTGACTTCTCCGTGCTGTATTTTTAACCCTGATTCATTTACAGGCGTGATCAACAGATTTGTACGCTTCACACCTTGACGTGAGCAAAATTCGATTTTTAAAACAGAAACTATCTGCTGATAAGGTGAAGAAAGAAAATCTCAGTTAACCCTTTCGGGGACAGCAGTTACTGCAGTGGACAGTTTATCATGTTATCAGGTTACAGCAGGGGTGTCAAAGTCAAATGGACGGAGGGCCAAATAAAAATTTTTGCTGCAAGCCGAGGGCCGGACTGATCGAATGTTCATTGAAAATTTTAAAAATAACCACATATTGTTTATTGAACCAAATTTAATTGACTGAAAACCTAACAAATACATTCCAATAGGGTCAGATAAATAAAGCAACATTTTTTTATGGCTATGTCAGTAAACTTTAATTTTCAACAGGCACAAAAAATTTCCTTTGTATAAAAATACCCATAACATGAATGAAAGAAGC